GCGGTACAGCGGAGATACATGACGTACACGCGGGTACACGACGGTACACGCGGGTACACGCACGCTACACCGGCAGATACACACACGTAGCATGCGGTAACGGAGCATACATGGCACGTACACGGCAGGTACACGCGGGACACGCACGTACACGCAGATACACGCACGTACACGTACACGCAGATTACACGCGGGTACACCGCACGTGGCACGTAGGGGTACTCGCAGGTAACACGGGTAACACGCAGATACACGCACGTACACGCGGGTACACGAGGAAATACAACGCAGCGTACACGCGGTACACGCACGTGAACACGCAGGTACACGCAGTACACGCGGGTTATACGCACGTACAGTAAGATACACCGCAGCGTCACACGTACAGCGCAGATACACGCACGTACACGCGGTACACGGAGATACATTGCACGAACACGCGGGTAACCGCACGTAACACGCTGGTACACGGACGTACACCGGCAGGTACACGCGGGTACAGCGCACGTACATGGTTGAAGCACCGCCGTGTCCGTGCGTGTATCTGGCTGGCACGTGAGTGTACCCGGTGTACGTGCGTGTATTGTGTGTACCCGCGTGTATGTGCGTGTACGTGCGTACCCGCTTCCGTGGTGATCTGCGTGTACGTGTACGTGCGCTATCGCGTGTATATCCTGCGTGTACCCCGCGCGCACCGTGCCGTGTACCCGCGCCGCCTGCCGTGAGGAGGTCACCCGTGTGATAACACACAAGCTGCATCGTGGACGTTGGCGGTTTTTTTACTCTGGGAACTGCGGATCGCGTGTACAACGCGCGGATACGTGCGTGTATCTGCGTATACGTGTACATGCGTGTTCTGCGTGCACGTGCCGTGTACGTGCGTGTACCGCGGGTACACGGACATACACGCACGTACACGCACGTACACGCACGTACACGCACGTACACGCGGGTACACGCACGTACACGCAGGTACACGGAGATACACGTACGTACACGCGGGTACACGCACGTACACGCAGGTACACGCACGTACACGCACGTGCACGCGGGTACACGCACGTACACGCACGTACACGCGGGTACACGCACGTACACGCAGGTACACGCAGGTACACGCACGTACACGCGGGTACACGCACGTACACGCAGGTACACGGAGATACACGTACGTACACGCGGGTACACGCACGTACACGCAGGTACACGCACGTACACGCGGGTACACGCACGTACACGCAGATACACGCACGTACACGTACACGCAGATACACGCACGTACACGCGGGTACACGGAGATACATGCACGAACACGCGGGTACACGCACGTACACGCTGGTACACGCACGTACACGCGGGTACACGCACGTGCACGCACGTACACGCAGGTACACGCACGTACACGCGGGTACACGGAGATACATGCACGAACACGCGGGTACACGCACGTACACGCTGGTACACGCACGTACACGCACGTACACGCGGGTACACGCACGTACATGCGTGAACCCGCGTGTACGTGCGTGTATCTGCGTGCACGTGAGTGTACCCGCGTGTACGTGCGTGTATCTGCGTGTACCCGCGTGTATGTGCGTGTACGTGCGTGTACCCGCGTGTACGTGCGTGTATCTGCGTGTACGTGTACGTGCGCGTATCTGCGTGTATACCTGCGTGTACCCGCGCGCACGTGCGTGTACCCGCGCGCACGTGCGTGTACCCGTGTGTACGTGCGTGTACGTGCGTGTATCTGCGTGTACCCGCGTGTACGTGCGTGTATCTGCGTATACGTGTACATGCGTGTATCTGCGTGCACGTGCGTGTACGTGCGTGTACGTGCGTGTACCCGCGTGCACGTGCGTGTATCTCCGCGTACCCGCGTGTACGTGCGTGTACGTGTACGTGCATCTGCGTGTACCCGCGTGTACCTGCGTGTACCCGCGCGCACGTGCATGTACCCGCGTGTACGTGCGTATACCCGCGTGTACACGCGTTTACGTGCGTGTATCTGCGTGTACGTGTACATGCGTGTATCTGCGTGCACGTGCGTGTACCCGCGTGTATGTGCGTGTACCCGCGTGCACGTGCGTGTACGTGCGTGTAGCCGCGTGCACGTGCGTGTATCTCCGTGTATCTGCGTGTACGTGTATCTGCGTGTATGTGCGTGTACGTACGTGTATCTCCGTGTACCCGCGTGTACGTGCGTTTATCTGCGTGTACGTGCGTGTACCCGCGTGTATGTGCGTGTACCCCCTCTGTGCGTGCCTGCCTGAGCAGCCATTGTTTACAAAATTGCCTAGCTTAGCCTCGTTTTCGTGCGATGACCCCCAGGTCATGAATAATATTTAAGACTGGTCTATAGGCATCAACTATGGTTACAATGTCCTGTCTTTTTTTATTTATTAACTCGAATGTATGTGCGTGCGTAACTGTAACCCTCCTTAACTGGTCAATTTGGCGATACATTCATTGCTCCGCATGCTCCTTTAATGTGGTTCATAGTTTGCCGATTCTTCCAGTCCTGTGTGCTCAATGACTGTCGATGACGTACGTGCGATCCGGGGACCGTTCTCAGAGCAATCACAAATACTTCATAACTATCACAAGCCTTAATAGGTCACAACAATAATGTGACACACGACAATGTTGCACAACGTGCACGATTCTTCAAGCACATTATTTACTGCATTTAATCCTAATGATGTGATAACTATTCTTGTTTCTGACGAAGAGTCGGCGAAAATTTTTATTCGGTGCACTCAGTTGTGAGGACTCCTTTGCATCATGCTGTTTCTGCTACATTAATTGCAATTCTCTCGAGTCCTTACGGTTGCTCCTCTCTCTTCGCGTGCTTGTACATACGAACCCCGTTAGTCATGATCATGTCCGTATCGAGCACGTAACTGGATCACACTTCTGACAGCAGTATGTGTGTATGTAGCATCCGTATAGTGTTGGATGTAAACACATCAGGTGTGAAACGAGACGGTGTATACGCGAAAGAACAAAACACCCGGTATGTAACATTGGGAACGCGTACGGGCTTTAAAGGATCAAGACGGCCGACCATGCTTGGTAGTTCTATTTCCTCAAGAAATATGAAGTAGGCTTTTATTTGTTAAGTTTTTTTCTTTAGTAATTTTTGGTGTGTCGACGAAGAGAAAACGCAACAGGTAGACGCTTTTCCTCCCCCTCGCCGTTCTTTGCACCACAGCATATTCTCTAATTACTTCTCTTCTACTGCTCCGTTTCATCTTCTTCATTTCTCAACCTGCCCCTCCTCTGATCCTAATGGGGTTAGCCGCTAGCTTTGTCAGCAGGTGGCGCAGCGGGAGTTAGAGGTGTTACAACGATTGCGCAATCAACCGGTCAGTTGGAAAGATACAGGAATCACGAATAACCGATCGTATCGTCATAGCGATATAACCAAGTTAAAATGCCTTCGTAAAGTCTGCAGCGATCACTTCAGAGATGCTGACTATACTAGCACACTTTTAAGTAAGTGTAATATCGAAAATAGCTTGTAAACATTAGTTATTAGCTCATTTTGACTTTGAGGTTTGCAGTAGTTTTCTTGCGTATTCCATGCAGTCTATAGATTATAAAAACAACTGTTAGTGTTATCATTGACAGCATTTATCGCTACAGAGCAGTATAATTATAATAGGACAATGCCAGTGGCAACGTTCAGCTGGTAATTGGTAAATAATCGAGGCCAGGTGTCTCTAGTACGAGGTACCAGTACCTGGTACCAGGTACTTGGCTATATTTCGTATCAAGAGCGTATTAAGAAGGCCTTCTTAATACGCTCTTG